TTACTACAATACGATCAATCGTTCAAAGGTTACCACAATACAATTAACAACGACAAAGGATATTGATGGGTACATTTGCACCCTATACTTTACATAGTAAGTTTTAATGTTTAGTTTATGATATCTTGAGACCAGTTTAATGGAACTGTCATTTATTAAATGCCGTAGACGGGATCATTAACTGCAATTTTATAGATTGATTTTAAATAATAATGTCGTAACTATTTAAATAATTGAACATGCTCATAGGTTAAGATTAACATAATTGAAAACACACATATGCTCAAAAATTACTTTTTGAAATCAATAAGCATTTAAAAAGTGAAATGTTACTTTGTTAACCTTTTTAAATTTAGTTTGTTATATGTTCCTGCTGTCAATTAGCATTTAATCCAGCAAGAACAAAGGCCATTTTCCCTTTTTGACAAGGCATTCAAATCTAAACGAAAATGTTAAAATTATTTGTTTTTACTGTTTGCCCGAAACCTAATCTGGTGAATTTCAATTACAAATCGAAATAAACACAAAATCCGAATGGATAATGTATCTCATAATAAGCCATTAACCAGCTGAGGATCTTCGAAATTAAGCAAATCAACATAATAGTTCATATGTGCATATTTACACAGACATGAGAATTATAGGGAACTATATTTCAGTGTATATACATTTTGTAGATTTAGTAGCTAACTTGTGCTACTTTTTGCTTTGGAGGCCGGTGCCTTAGGAAAGACTTGGAACGAGTTCCAATCGTTCCAAAAACGTGTTTGAATTCGGTAAAATGATTGGTTGATTAAGGTAAAGCAACCAACAACGAGTCATCCAATCATCTTTAATACTGGAATCAAACGTTTTTTTTTTGTTTGATCCGTTTTACTATTTCTATGTTTACAGTAGGCGAATAAATTTACTTTGTAAGCTCAATATCCTTTACCCAAAGATAGAGTCAATAAAAAGTAATGACAGGGTTAAAATTAATAAAATATTTATTACAAGAATTCCATAACAAATAATAAAGAGTTTAAAAAAAAAAGAAATATTAATTAAAAGAAGCTATCGAAAACGTTTTATTTCTATGTCTATAACAACTAGACGCTTTCTAGTACTAAAGTTTCTAGTTAAAGAGTTTTTGGCAATTGTTTAACATGAATATAATATTAAATGAAATACAGAGTTATTATATTACTATATTGAGATTTGTTTTTTTTAATTTTAATTCAAATGCATGTAAATGCTTCTTTGTATCGCAAACAATGGTAAAGAAGGAATAAATAATCTGCAACTACATTATAAACGTAACTGTACTCAGCTCTTAAAGAACCAAAATGGTTTCGGTTTCTTTGCAAAACTGAAACAATGAGTTGTCTTTGGTACAGGGTGATAAGTTCTAACATATCTTTTTAGAGCTATCAGAATAATCTGCCATATAACTGTTCTAAACTGCGTAGAACGCTCTCTGATTACTATTGCTTGCTTGATTATTTTGTGTTTTCACGCCACTTACAGCACTATTGGCTATGTCGTAGCATCAAGTTTTAATTTGTGAAGGATGCCGGGGAGAACCACGACCTTCTGCAGAACAACTGGCAATCCTAGTCATCAAAGATAGGAGTCAAACGCATCTATCACGTGCGGAGCTCGAAATCACAACCTCAGTGGTGACAGGCTAGTGGTATAGTTGATGAACTATTTAGACCACTCGGCTACTGATTACTAGTAAGTTAAAGAACAGATGATGTCAGTAGTTAACCTGGTTTTGCTTGTAAGACTTGGATGTTTATTCGTTCTTTTAGTTCTCAAGTTTAAAATTCATTTCTTAACCAAAGTAATATTTTACAGAATCGATTTACTGTTTACAATATCCCATCAATTCCTTTTATATCCATGAAAGAAAGAGATATTACATAAAAATAATAATGGATTTAAAATTAATAAAATATTTTTTTACTAGAAGCTATTTTAGGAAACGTAATATTCCTATGTCTTTTTCATGTTTAATAACCACACGTTTTTCTAGTACTAATATTTCTCGTTTGAGGGTTTTTAACAATTGCTGAGCATGAAAAAACTATATTAAATTCAATACGGAGTTATTACATTTCTGTGTAGAGATTTTGCGTTCATTGACTTTAAATCAGAAGCATTAAGTTTCTTTATTATTCCGATAACAAAGGTACAACAGGGATAAATTGCTACAACTACATTAGGAACTTAGCTACTTCGACAACCTTAGGTGTAGCTCTTAAAATACTTATATAATATGTTAATGCTTATGTACAACAAATACAATTTTAATATATTTAGCAATCCCATCTTTATTTCCTAATATTCTTAAAATATTCAATAAATAAATAGCCATCACTAACTTAGAGATATCTGAGAGATCTTAACTAAGTATAACTAATTGTAAATAATAGAAGATATTCAACTTGATTTGCTCAGCTGATACAGCCAACTCACTGCTTAAGTCAGTTTGGATCAGTTCTAACCAGTATTCAAAACTGTCAGAACAATCTGTCATATAACTGTTCTAAACTAGAACCCCCTCTGGTTTTGATAAACATAAAAATAAGAAGATGTGGTATAATTGCCAATGAGACAATTCTCCAACAGAAAACGAATGACGAAGATTTAAACAACTACGTATACGTCAACTATCAGAACAACAGTTCTGGTCGCCGAGTAAGTCTGGTAGGATTAACTGAATTACAAATACTGTGGATTAATTATTATTCGTGCGATACAAAATTCACGAATTTAAATGTTCAACGAATTACAATTTTTTATAGGGTTATATGAAGACTTTGGCAAAACCAAGAAATCAAAATCAACGAAAATGCAAGTTTTTTTTATCTATCAACAAAAATAGATACCTTTTGAATCCACAGTAAAACATTATTCAACTTGATTATTTCGACTATTGCAAACAGTTTTCTTTGATTCATCATGGCTTTATTTAAGTATGTATTTTACTACAATACAATCAATCGTTCAAAGGTTACCACAATACAATTAACAAACGACAAAGGATACTGATGGGTACATTTGCACCCTATACTTTACAAAGTAAGTTTTAATGTTTAGTTTATGATATCTTGAGACCAGTTTAATGGAACTGTCATTTATTAAATGCCGTAGACGGGATCATTAACTGCAATTTTATAGATTGATTTTAAATAATAATGTCGTAACTATTTAAATAATTGAACATGCTCATAGGTTAAGATTAACATAATTGAAAACACACATATGCTCAAAAATTACTTTTTGAAATCAATAAGCATTTAAAAAGTGAAATGTTACTTTGTTAACCTTTTTAAATTTAGTTTGTTATATGTTCCTGCTGTCAATTAGCATTTAATCCAGCAAGAACAAAGGCCATTTTCTCTTTTTGACAAGGCATTCAAATCTAAACGAAAATGTTAAAATTATTTGTTTTTACTGTTTGCCCGAAACCCAATCTGGTGAATTTCAGTTACAAATAGAAATAAACACAAAATCCGAATGGATAATGTATCTCATAATAAGCCATTAACCAGCTGAGGATCTTCAAAATTAAGCAAATCAACATAATAGCTGTTGATGTATTACAACAAGTAGCGACGAAATTCGGCCAATATCGGAACATTATTTCCTAAAAAGTACTTCAAAAAAAGGAACACCTTAGATATATACAAATTGAAGTTGAAGGTCAGATGGGAACAAAACATTCCATCAAAAAAGATCATTAAAGCTTTTCAAGCGTGAACTTTTCATTCCTACGAATCAATAAATCGACAACGCTTGATATAGAATACATATCTCCCAGGTAATACGATATCCAGACCTGGTGGTCTATGCTTACAAGGCAGCTATTAAACCAAGGATTCATATTTGTAAATTTGGAGACATTCGAATGTGTTACGGACGGCATCATCATTCGGTTGACCATTATGGAATATCCGTGTCACAGATGACCACGGATATGTTCGAAAAGGACGCTGGAGATACCAAAAAAGGGAGCATTAAAACTAATTAATAGAAGACAAAACGACAGAATCATGACAAAAAACGAAAAACATCGAAAAGACATACAAAAAACTACATATAAAACTAAAGACTGAGCGACACGAATCAACCAAATGCCGGTGTGAACCCCGATTGTTTCTAAAGGCTGAAACAAAATTCTGCTCCACATGTACAATGTAATAAAAAGTTGGAATGTTTTGTCTTTACGTGCGGGTATAGACTGATTTACCTTCTATCAAAGAATTTTATATAGATAAGACTAAAGATAGATTTGATCAGCCTTTTTCTTTAAATGCCAAAAGCAGAAACAAACGACAGTAATTACAAAAAAAATGACGACTTAAAATTGTACAGACTTTTATTAAAAAAAGAGAGAAAATCAATAGTAAAACAACAATTAAAATCAGTACATAACTTATAAATGAAAATGTTAACATGAGTAAATGCATCAGTCTTTTTATGAATTGGGAATACATCACCCGTCGGATCTTGCCCAAGGCATTTTTGGGTAAATATCGTTTATCAATCATGTCTATGCAGAAGGAAATATTTATAAAAACAATGTATTTTGGTTACATATGTCGTCTAGTTGCGATCTATTCATTATACAGGTATTTGTATCGCTACTTCAAAATTCAGATCATGGTAGATTTGTGGTTTTAATCAAATGTTAGCGCAACTATCTAATCAAAACATACAAGAATACCTTTTAAACATGAAAACTAAAACCGTGCACACGTGACACGTTTCGCTCATTTTGCAATTAAAATAAAAATCGCCGAACATATCCTCTGGCGCAAAATTTATCTTTACGGTATATCAGAATTAGTAACAAGAAAAAGCGTTAAAAAATAAAACCCAGTGATTAAATTTTGCTCTTAAATTCGCGAAATGTAAACTCTGCAAAAGTACTAACTCTAGTCATATGTATTACAGGATCATACAGAAGTTGACTTTTTATCTTATCACCGTCATACAGTAAAATGTCCTACCTCATGAAAGTCATCTTACTGAAATCAAAAGCGTTGTCCTTGGCTTCATCCTTTTTCTTATGGCTACCCTTTCGTCGGAAGGAGAAACGATTTACTGTTATCCTTTCCATTTCTTGTTATGTCATGCGTCCACAGATAAAACAGTTATGATGCAGTATGATGAGACTCAAGTTAGTTTATACAATTTCTTTATTAGCTATCGATGAACACATAAATTTTTTATATCTGTATTACTATCAAACTTTGCTAATAATATTAATGTTTTATCTATTAAGGATATTTTTTTGCAACTTATCTGTACACTTGTTAATTAATTATACATTGGAACAATACTCAACGGTTAATCAAATGGAAATGTTATATGACTGTCATACTGTCATGACATGTTCATCTAAATGCGTCCAGTTTACCCCTGAATGCGGAATAAATACACAAATAAAGCTTGGACTACGCACGTCAACACTACGTTAATGTATTCGTCTTTGATCACATTGGAATATATAAATCCAAACCGATTAACAAGATCATACACAAGATAAATATTACGATATCGTTTTTCTATTATTTCAAAGAACTAATTACATAGTTCAATTCATATCCACCTTGCGATCGAAACGACTAAATATCGTAGAGATAAGGACTTTTGTTTATCTGATTCTTAATAACGAAACTTTAAACAAGTTGATTGGTTTAGCTGATGCAAACAATTCTCTTGGATACTGGTCTTTGCAAACGTATGTCCAATACAATACGATAAATCGTGAGCTGGTTATTACAGTGTGAGCTATAACGCCACAGGATCTGACTTCTGTTGACGTTCGTCCCATACAATTATCAGTATTAACTTCCGATTAAAATTATTGTTTATTTTATGTTGTCACACACGGTCTGAACAGTGACGTCCGTCACACTCTGCATTTAGTAGAGCATTAACTGCAATTTTATATATTACTTCTATAACAGATATTCCTGATATGAAATAACGAATTTGCTTACAGGTAAAAAATAAGTTAAATACGATTTTATCATGTGAATATTTATTTATTGTCGGATATTTATTCAGAACTAATAGCTTATTGAATATACGTAAACAATGATTATCAAAGTAACTAATTCTAAAAAAAAGTTGGAAATTGAAATACTATATGAAAACAAATGAATCAATATAGAAAACATTGGTTTATATAATATAAATGCATCACTCAAAAAACGAAAAATATATGTCATAGCATAACTAGCTGAATGATTTAGGGCGCTGATCTTTTTTTTTTATATCCCCCTAGCACATCATAGATAAATACACGATTGTTTAACGTGCATTGTTTGTTTCCCAATCATCACTGACTTTGGATTTTACATTTCAATTTAAAATTCAGTTGAATAGATATAAACCTCTAAGATGGTTTTTGGAAAAAAGCTGACTGTACATACATCTGTACATATGCATAACTTGTTCCTATTGCTGTTTAAAACAGATTATGAAAATATATATACATTAGTTTTTATGGCGTCAAATTATGGATCCAGAATACGACAAGAGGAAGGATTGTATATCAGTTATCCAATACTATTTGACGGTCGCATTGCTTCACGAAGCAGACGTCTCCTCTGTTTCTACGTGCAGAACTATCCAAATACAATCATTACTTTTCTTTAAAATGCGACGTTGCTGCTATGACCGGGTTCAACTTATAAATTATCAAGTTCGAAAAGTACGATTCAGTGGCATTATGCCAGTATCTGCATGGACCAATAACATATGATTTATGTTTTTTTCAGTTTCAATTAAAATTTAATTATTTCCCAATGATTAGTCGTTGTATCATCTTCAATGCGTGTTCGTTTCGTTTAGATTCCGTTTCTCACTTTAAAAGTACCCAAAATCATGTAATGAAATATGAATATCATATCTTTTACAAAATACTTAGGATTTTCTACCCCAGGAATAAATAAGAAATTATGGGTCCTAAATTCTCTTCAACTTCAACGTCGTACTTTTTTATTCGAGCTTCCCTTGTGAGTCTTTTGTAGACGCGCATCTGTCGTACAAAATTTTAAGCCTGGTATCTATGATACGTTTATTTCGTGTAAAATTTTCTCAACTTAATTAATAAATATGACTTTTATATATTCTCAAAAAAGGTATGATGTTTCAATAACATTGTGTATAGACGGGTCTTTCTAATTATCCCCCTTAGTATTGCACATGTCCGCACGAGGTCATCGATATCCGGTCGCCATTAAGGTCGTGAAAAATTGTAAACATTAGAGAAAGCACGCTATCTGAACACACATAATTTTATTGTTGATACAACCAAAATGAATAATCTGAATCCACCAGGCTTAGATAAAATAACAACATGGGCAGACGATATGAGGGTATGGCCAAATGTTATGTACGGTGATGTGTACAACTTTTTAATTTCGTCAAAAGCTGTCGATGGTCAAGAAATGAAGAATTTCAAAAGCCTGCAAAGTTATAATTACTTTCAAAGTGGAAATGTCGGAGCTATTACGCACCATGTTTATACTGACAATACGTTTTTAATGAGGGCAGAAGTCCGTTCTTCCCAAACAGTATCGAGAATGAACAGTGTATATGTACATTCTACACAAGATGGCACAGTGAAAAATGGATGGTGTTCGTGTATGGCAGGCCGATGTCATGCGTGTAGTCATGTTGGGGCTCTTCTTTGGAAGTTGGAACATGCTTTGAGAAATAGTCTTACTGGGATTGCCTGCACTGATGAAAGTGCTCAATGGAATAAAGGGACCACAAGGAATGTGGAACCAAAGGCACTCTCCAATATAACATTTAAGAAGCCCAAGGTTGGCGAATCTGTCATGGAAAATAATGAGGATTATGTGCCGAGCGTTCGTGACACTCCTCTATTTTCCTCAGATGCAGAATTTAAGGCAGCTATAAAGAATTCACCTATATCCAAACTGTTCGAAATAAAAGGAACAACTGTTTACAAAAGTTTTAATTGTACACCTATGTCTAATGTGATAATCCAAGAGGAGTATGGCGAACATACTTCTATTAGTTCATGTAGGAAATGTTACACCCTTTTCAATAAATATATTGAACTTAATGACACAAAAAGGAAAAACTTGGAACTTGGAACAAAAGGTCAAAGTAGCAGTGTTTTATGGAAAGATGCAAGGAAATTGCGCATAACTGCAAGCAGTGCAACTAAAGTGCCAATTAAAGACACAACTGATGCAACAGCATTTATTAGGGAACATTTGCATCCCAAATTTACAGGGAACAAATATACGAGACATGGTACGCAGCAAGAACCTGTGGCTAAAGAGAACCTACGGTCACTGGGAAATATTATTATAGATACCGGCATGTATGTCTCAACTGAGGAACAGTGGCTTTCTAGTAGTCCAGATGGAATTTTAAATGGTGACACATTACTTGAGGTTAAATGTCCAGTTCCAACAAAATGGAATACACTTGAAGAACTGATAAATGGTGGGAAATATGATGTAATTAAAACCCCAGAAGGACATTATCAAATTAAAGTCAAAGGAAGTAGGGGTTATTACATGCAGATTCAATTGACTATGTACTGTACTGGCCTTCGAAAAGGCAAACTGTACCTGTGGAGGTGTCCGGATGACTTTATTTTAATAAATGTCGATTATGACCAGGAATATGTTCGTGAACAAGTCCAAAGATTAAAAGACTTTTATGTGAGAAAAATGATTCCCAGAATTGTTGATGAAGTAGACAGTGATCGTCTCACTTTCAGTAGACTGTTTTGTAATTTTATGAGATAGATTTTTACAATAATAATAATTTTATGGTCTAAAGCTTTAAGTTGTTCATTTTATCTTAAGATTCAGATTGACCCTGTAAGCATTTGTACTTGTAAATCAATGTATGGCCAAGGAGGTTAAGGATTTAAACCAGGTCAGACATCTCTGCTAAGCACACATACAGTATACATGTGTATATTTTTGACAGAATTTACAATGTACATGTAGGTTTAGAAGTAAAGACTAGTTGACTCAGAGTTAAACAATGTGTCCTTGTAATAATACAGTATATTAATATAAAAATAAGGAGATGTGTTATGATTGCCATTGAGACAAATATCCACTGTCAACAATGAGAAAGACCCATAATAAATGAAAGGCCCAAACATAAAAAAAATTATGAAACAATTATATTCAATTGAGAAAACAAACAGCCTAATTTATCACAAAAGAATCTACAAAAACCAAATATGACCGACATGAACCAATGACAACCACTGATTTAGCTCAACTGGTTAATAGTACAAGGAATGTATAACAGTAACATATTCTCATCGCAATATTCATGTAATATTTACCACTGGACGTTAAACACTATCACTTAATCTAGGTCATCGTTTAGCATGTTTAGTAAAAGTGCATGCAAAATCACACACTTAATAAATAGCATTTTGAATTAAATGTTTAGTTATATATAATTACATGGAGTAAACATGTACACTAGTCTGAAAAACAATTCTTAAATTTGATAATTATCTCATATTAATGAGATAACACATTGGTATGCAATGTTGATGTTTGGACAAGAAGACTTCATAGACATGTGTGTAATTTACTAGGGATAATCACAGTTGGAAAGGCAAACAGTGTTGACTTGTTTACCTTCACATGTTAACGTAATTGATTGTTATGTAATAAACATTTATTACCCCAGGAGTTCACTTCAGGAGACCCGTAATTCCTACTTTGATCATGTTGATAAGTCCAGATGCTTATAATTCGATACAATTTAATAATAAAAAGTAATGAGCAGGTCTATGATTACCAGTATATATATATATAATTTAATATACAACTATCTTTTACATTGTTCATAACAACAATAATAATAAGAAGACCAGGAATTATCGTCTCCAAGCTAGTTTATACTCACTTACATTTAATGACATCCAAGACAGGAGATTTAGTCCACTTTTCATTGAAGAGTTTTTGATGATTTAATCTAACTTTTATTGTTGGGTTACAGTCTCATTGACATATATCACACTTCCTGAATTCTTTCAATCAAGTCAATTATGGAAATCAATTAATTAAAATAAAACAATCTGAAGGTTGAATAAAAATGTAATAAAAAAAAATGAAGGACAAAAAATACAATTTACAATGTAATTATATTCAATCCGTATCTACATTGACATCCCGTATTAAATCTGATCTCAAATTTACCAATGCAGAACAAAC